GTCTAATTTAGGGATTAAAATCTGTGCCGTTCAATCATGATAATATTGAATTGAACTAATGGGGAAAATAATTGGTTCCCCATTTCTTCTTTCATTTAAACGTTAGAGAACCACTCGCCCTATCTATTCCAGAATGTTGTCGAAAGTTAATTTCCAAAATGAGTCTCGTATTTTAAAGTGGATAAATATCGTAAACATTTGAAAGCAGCTAAATATCATGAGTTGTGATATCGCGTATGAATATCAACTCTATGTGGACTGATAGAATCAGTTCTAAACTCTCTTTACTATGACTTGACTATGGGTGTTACTGTATAACTTTACCTATAGCTCAACTAGATTTTTAAATTGACAATACAATAGGGACATTTAAATTGACCGGTTGGTATTGTTAGATTTAAATCTACATTGATTCTACCTGTACAGTTTTTTTTTTTACCTATTCCAACCTTACAGCATGCTTTTTTCCTGAAGTTTTTCTTTACCTAGGATTATTCTTTTTAAAAATTGATAGGGAAGAAAATATTTTTGGTTTTCATTGTTTTAAATCCCCAATATATATGATTTATCTAATTTTTACCTAAAATTCTAAATCGGTAAAAGATTTAATAAATATTTGTTGAAAACTTCTGATTTAATAAAAAAAAATCACTTTCCCATGTTTTTTATTAGAGAATCCTTAACCAAGTAAAGGAAATAAACATTGTCATTTCAATCTTTTTATCATTGAAATGAGTGTATTCCTAGAAGTAATAGGTCATACAAATGCCAAAGAAACAATATTTAGAAGGAAATAGAGATATTTTTTATTTTACTGTCATTTAAAATATTAGGAGTGATCAAGCCAAAACAAGAATGTATATATGTTATTTTCTTGCAGGGTATTTAATTGCATGGTTTATAATGCACTCCATTTCATCTTAATGTTTTCATAGCCAAATACTAGGAGTGTTTGGTACCCCGAATAATCAAGTCCTTATATTTCACTCACTTCGATCGCTACATTATTTCATTTGTATTGTCGAAAAAACTTCTTTTTTTTTATCAATTGGCCTTTTCTAATGGGATATAACTCAATATGATTTGCTTTTGCTCTTGTGGAAATCTTAATAAATTTATTATTTCCATAATTTTATGAATACTTATTGACATGTTCCTTGTACAAATTGTTTATGCATATTGAAATATGAAAATCATGGTTGAATAAACAATTTTATCTATTTACTGACACTGATATTTGACATCTCATTCAGAATTCCAAAGATTTTAAATATTTTCTTAATTTTATTAACTTTTTCGATTTTTTTCTCACTTTATTCACTACGTCACTAGATTTTTTTCTATATCCATAGTATATTCTGTTTAATTTCCCATGATATACATCCCAATTAAACAGGTGCAGAATCTTTATATAATTCAGCATCTTGTAATTTTTTTATCATTTCTATTATTATATTCAAAATAGTTATCCTCACTTTACAAATATATTGTAATATTTCATTCATATTTTTACTATATCACTTAATTTAACTATATCCACAGTATACATTTTTATTTCATTTCCTATGATATATGTCCAAATTAAACAATATTTGATCCAGAATTTTATAATGATTATTACCGATTTCACATTCACTTAAAACATATCCTCCGGTTAGGAATATTTTGGAATATTTTACTGTTATTTTTCACTTTATCACTAGATTAGACTATATCCACTGCATTAATTCAACATTTTATTTCATTTCCAAGATCCCATTTAAATGGTGAATCATCTTTTTAATAGATCCCAAAATTAATAATGAATGTTTTCAAAATCACATTTCAAGCCACAGAAAGATGTTGGTTGAACTCACACTATATCTCCTATTTGAATTCCAGTTTTGAAATTTTTTAATCTTTAACATAACTAAATCCCATCTTATGAAAGTTGAATTTCCTTGAGTGAACACAGCATTTTATGCACAAAAGTCCTACTAATATTATAGTAGATTTCAAAGAAAAAACACTGCAAGGTATACTCCAAAATTATTTCGAATTTTACATGTACATCATCATATGTAAGCCACACAAAACAGTTTGAATGAATTATTTCCTCCTTGATACCTTCATGACAATAAATTCTTGGAAAAAACAAGTCACATTTTAAGAAGCAAAATTACTATAAAAATTCTGAGAAGTGAATTCAAATCAAATAAATCCAATAGTGTATGCACAATGATACCAATAGATTTCAAACATTTCAAATAATAATCCAAAATAGAAATCTTGAAGGGTCATGTGAAGAAATGAACAAAATATCCATCTGAAAATTTAAACTGTAAACACCTGAACAGCTATTTCTTGTTTCACTGGCAGCTGGACAATACTATGTATAAGGGTTAAAATTTTAAAGAAGCATTTATTATGTAAAAACAGTTTAAATTTTCAAACATATTAACACGTAGTTTGATTTAATCTTTTACTGATTTAGAAATTTAGGTAAAAATTAGATAAATCATATATATTGGGGATATTAAACAATGAAAACCAAAAATATTTTCTTCCCTATCAATTTTTGAATAGAATAATCCTAGGTAAAGAAAAACTTCAAGAATAAAGCATGCTGTAAGATTGGAATATGTAAATAAAAAACTGTACAGGTAGCATCAAGGTAGATTTAAATCTAACAATACCAACTGGTCAATTTAAATGTCCCTATTGTATTGTCAATTTTAAAATCTGGTTGAGCTATAGGTAAAGTTATACAGTAACACTCATAGTCAAGTCACTGTAAAATTGCCAGAAAAGTCTGTATTCTGTTCATAACAGCCACAAAACTGTTCTAGGTTAGAACTGTCAGAATCAGTTCAGGGTAGATCTGGCCAAAACTGTACTAAGGTAGAATCGTTAGGATCAGTTCTAGGGTATAATCGTTAGTATTTGTTCTAATTTAGAATCTTTAGGATCAGTTCTAGAGTAGAACAGTTCAAAATGACGTAAATACGAGAAGCTAACTGGTTATGATTTAGAACAGAGGCAGTTATCGATATTTAACATGTAAGGCATATTCCAAATAAAGACAATTAAACATAAACAATATTTACAGTAATGGGTGCTTATTTTACTTATGTTAATTCTCCTTGTTTATAATTAGTTTTCAATCATTTGGTTTTTTTTTTATATTTTTATTTGTATAGAATAATGCTTAAGTGAAGAGGAAATATACTTTTGATATTTCCGTAATGATTATACAAAATACTAGTAATGCATTCTTTTAGAAAGACAATTTTACAGGTCGTTTAGGGTGATTATTACAGGTAAAAACAATCGAATTCAAGATTCATGATTCAATAAATTATTAAAGTCTCACCACTTGTACAACATGAAACCTTCATGACAACTATTGAATTGCTTTTGTACGTTATAAAAATAAAGGTGCAAATGAAAGAGTATGTTTTATATGCCATAGGAAGATTGAAATGTATCATCATGCCCGTTATGTACAGATTCTCGTAATAGTCTATCTAGTGAAGCATTGAAATAAAATTCAGATTTTTAAAAATTTATCTGATAATAACAAGTTTGTTTATTTATTTCAAAATAACGAGGGTGATATGATATTGTTGCCAAGACCTGCTTTAAAATTTTGAGTAGACAAAATGCCTTTTTATATTCTTAGATTGAAGTTCATATAATTTTATGTAATACACCAATCTTGAGTTGTTTTTTTTATGAATGAGTTACACCGGTTGATCCGAGGTCGATCGGCGGAAACGACCTCACCGAACCATCGGTTCTTATTGTGACGTAATTTGATAAGCATTGTGACAGGGAAAGTTCACGGATTCGAAAGTCGTCTAAAAAGGAATTTTATATGAAATGGTTTTTACAGTCTCTCATAATTCTTAATCGAATGGTACTTGGCAATTTATCTATGTAGATTGGTTGTTTTATATTATGTATATACTTTTTATGTACTGTATGTTTATGCATTAGACGTGTTGGGACTTTAATAAGATATTGAATCTTGAATCTATGCAAGATTTAGAAGATTAATAAAATAAATAAATGGGTTGAACAAATTGAACAAATAAATGAAATAAGTAATTATAAAGTAAAATAACAAAAAATACCGGACTCCAAGGAAAATTCAAAACGGAAAGTCCCTTATCAAATGGCAAAATCAAAAACTAAAACACATCAAACGAATGGAAAACAACTGTCATATTCCTGACTTGTTACAGGCATTTCCTTATGTAGAAAATGGTGGATTAATTAAATTGAGAATGGAAATGGGGAATGTGTCAAAGAGACAACAACCTGACCAAAGAGTAGAAAACAGTTTACCTGTTTTTTTAGCTAGCTAAACCTCTCACTTGTATGACAGTCGCATAGAATTACATTACATGTATATTGACAACAATGTGTGAGCAAAACAAACAGACGTAATAGTTAAAAAAGTAAAAAAATTGGAGTTCAGCAGACAACATTGTGTTATAATCTTAATTACTAAAAAAACAATTATATATATGTCAACAAAGAAAGACAAAATGGCATATAGACAAAACACATAAGTAAAATTGAGGTTAGAACTGTCCAAAATATGTTGTAGGATAGCACCACTTCTGTCAGAGGCTGTTCTAAATGTTTCAGGAAGAACGGTTCTATATGCATGTACATGTATATAGACTGTTCTAGATTGGTTCTTCTGACACGCTTTCTGACAGATTTCAGAGAGGTTAGATCTGATGTCAATTGTATATAAATGGACAATTGATGTTGGTAGCAGATCATTGATCTTTGTCTTTTATTTATTCACAACATTTCGAGGCACAATGCGATTAAGAGACTCTTTTCTATAGCTTAAGGTCGTATGTTGACCTCTTATTGCCTCTAATTCATGTTTTTTTTTTGTGACTTTGAGTTGTTGTCTCACTGACATTATCCTACATCCAGTAAATGCAAATGGTTTTGCCCACACCAACCAATAGATGTATTTATTTATATGTATTTTGCAGATTAGTTTCACGGAAGTAAATAAAACAAACGAGCTGCTTGAAGTTCTACTGAAAGTCTACTCATTTTCGTTTGTCTCGGAGGATCATGAAGGAAAGGGTAAGCTTTATTTTGAATTCAATTACATTTTGATTCGTTTTTGTAAGATAGACGATATTTTGGGGGGTTTTTTTCATGGAACAATTAAAGTTAGCAAGATTTACCATATGTGAAGAAAAACAATATATAATAAGCAGATTTAAGCATTTAGTGTCAGTCGCCATCTGCGAACATTTGTGCACTTTCCATAGACAAAGTATGAGTATGGGTTTTGTGCACATTAGTCAAATCGATAAAATTGTAGGGGATATATTACTTATACTAATAAGTATTTGCTTATACTTCATATTTTTTAAAGTTGTAATGTTCTTTGAGATAACTTTTCCTATGAGTTCAGCTTCATTTGCTGTCTTTCGGTTAAATTTTTTTACCGATAATGTTTGGCAAACAACACAAATTATTTACGCTATTCATACAGTATTTCATGAGAAGAAACATTTATCTCGAGGTTCCCCTTGTATAACTTTTGCAGTGTTGATTTTGGTCATGTGTGTTATTTAGTTTAAGACTAAGGGGGGGGGGGGGGGGGGGGGGGGTTCCGGGAGAAGTTACTTCTTTCTTTTGTGTTATATAAATCTCATCAAACTTAGGCTGAAACCATATCATTTCAATGTGAGACCCTTTAAAATTAACTCTTTAATAACATAAACCGTTTCAATGTCTCTTCAGTGATGCTCGAGGCCAAAATATTTGAAAATCCAAAGCTTATTAAAAAGATGACGAGCTATTAACCAAAAAGGACAAAAAAGTATAGCCAAAGCCGGGCAAGGAATCAGAGCTTTGCATGAGGGAGATATATTCCTTAATTTAAAAATAATTTCAAAAATTTTGTAACAGCAAATTTTGATAACACAAAATCCGTATTTTCATGCCAGTACTGAAGTACTGGCTACTGAGCTGGTGATACCCTCGGGGACTATCAGTCCACCAGCAGAGGCATCGACCCTGTGGTAGTAACAACATAAAACTCTGTAACTACACTTAAAAGTGATTCAAACCAAGAATAGTTTTTAGACTGTTGACAGTTTTTCTACAATTAAAAGGGTCTGTTTAATTGTTAGGTCCTACTATGACCCCGTCTGTTGTATCAGTGGAATGCCATTTAGTGCTGCATTTATTATCTCTTGTCTCTTGTATATTCTAATCGCTTTTATCTCTTATGGCCTACTTGCAGGTACTGAATTGTAATCAATTTGGCATTTTTGGTTAAAAAAAATTCTTTTTTAACAGGTACAGGATCAGAAAACTTAGATTTTACAGAGTGGTAAGACTTACATTATTTTCCACTGGTTATTTTCTTTATTTTATTCGTTATACTCTAATCTCTTTCATTTCTTTATTAACTTAATTTTCATAGTACACATCTGATTTAAAAATACTGATCAAGGGATCAACTGAAAAGAATAAATCGTAACAATTAATTTGATTGATACTATGCAACATAAATGGACATGTTAAAATAATGATTATCTATATAACAATAAGCTGTGAAAAGCAATAAAAAAAAACATAAAAATCGAATACGCAGTCAGTGTTCTAATTGTTTTCATAACTAATCAGTATCATATAAACTTTTTTCCATTTTGCGTCATGTCATTTATCTCCCTTTTAAGGTTGTGGAATAGTTTGAAAATCCAGGAACTAACGCATTTATTAAATCTTCCTCTTTATAGCTATCCCCAAAACACCTTCTTTACTGGCCAACTGGTTCAAATCTTAAAAGTAAAATAACAAAACTACCGAACTCCAAGGAAAATTTAAAATGGGCAGTCCCTTGTCAAATTGGAAAATCAAAAGCTCAAACACATCAAACGAATGGAAAACAACTGTCATATTCCTGACTATTTATATACAAGCATTTCCTTATGTAGAAAATGGTGGGTTAAACTTGATTTTATAGCTAGCTAAACCTCTCTCTTGTATGACAGTCGCATAAAATTCCGTTATATTGACAACAATATGTGAACAAAACAAACAGATATTATAGGTAAAAATGTCAAAAATTGGGGAGAAGCAATCAATATTGTGTTATAATCTTATCACTATAAAACAAACAATTATGTCAACAAAGAAAAACAAAATAGCATATAAACACTCTATAGACAAAGCACAAATGCAAAAATGAAAGACAAGAATACAAAAATGACCATAGCACAATAACACAATGGCGGGATGTATAAATACCGAGCCACGCCAACAGATATAACCAAAAATGGACTAAACAATAAAGGTTAAAAATATACAAAGACAAATAAAAAAACCACTATAACACGTAATTAAGATAATAAACAACGTTAGTACTTAGAATATATGCTTCAAGACCATCATGAATTATTTGTGAAGTTGATACGGAATATTTATCAACAAGGTCTTGGTATCATCCGATGGACTTTTTTTTAGAAAAAGGACGAGAAGTTCTTTGACATAACCCCGGTTCATCAACTTTCTGCTCAAACACTGGTGACGTTTTATAAAGTCTGAGTAGCAGCTGCAAGCTCTTGAATACCGAATGAGTAGTGAAATGTATATCCCATATGCAGATGAAGTTGGTATATTGCTGCTAAGGTGGGGGAAATTGGTTATTCAAAAATTAAAATCGTCTCGTTTGTCATAGATTTTGGTACTGAGATGACCGCTTATGTCAAATTCGAGGTATAAGTCTAAAAATGAGGCAGAGGAAGCAGTGTCTGTTGTTTCTTTAATTTCTAGTTGGTTGTGGAGGGCTTATTAATGGAACCAAATTAGAAAAGTTTGGATTATTAATGCAAAGAACATCATCAATATATCTGAATGTGAAATTATATGATCTGGCTTCTTTGATCTTCTTGTTTTTGGACAGTGTCTGAAAGAACCCAGACTCATGTGAAAATAAGAGGAGGTCGGTAAGGAGAGGCACACAGTTCGTTCCTATTGGAATGCCGACAATTCGTTGAAAAAGTCTACCTCCAAATTCAACAAATATGTTGTCAATAAGAAACTCCAGCATACTGATCACGTGTTCCTCGGTGTAGCTAGTTTTATCTTTTTGTTCACTATTAACAAAATATGCTGTAAGGTGTATCCCAAAGCAATACGTTACAATTCTTATATTGAGAAGCATTCTTTTAGACGATTTTTCAATTTGACAATGGGAATGGTGGTAAAAAGCGTTGAAATATCAAAAAGATCTTACCTCATTTTCATTCCGTTTAATTTAATTTTTTTTTTTTGTTGTTGTTGTCTACAGGTTCTCTTTTGAAATTAATTCATCAGGAGAAATAACCCGCGTTTATCATGAATCGGGCGAACATCATGATGTGTTGATAGCTAAGAAAGGCTTCGCTTCTTTGTTGTCATCAAAACTACAGGCTCCGGTAAGTAATGTTTAACTCTGTGTTATGAGTGATTTGAAGAATTAAAATTTCGAGTATGTTTTTCGTTATAACGCTGCTATTTTAGTTGAAAATACTTGCTCTCAAAGGGTAAGGAAGTCCTAAAAACATCATATATTCAATAAAATGATATATTTGCCGGAATCTTCCTGCATTCCTCCCCATTTTGTTCTTTTTCTTTTTTCGATTGTGAAAATAACTTTACTGACATCATATTTAATTTGCGTCATCAATTAAAGCCTAATATTTACTCTTTTAGAAGGTGCAAAATGTAACCAATAATGGTATCATCCATGTTTTTGTTGTTTTGTGTTTTTTTTTAAATATGTGAGTCTAAATAAGCTTTTTTACGTTTGTGTACTAATCATATCCAGAAATCAACGCCACTTTGCTTGTTTGAATATTATACTAAAGAAATCGGATACGGATCACGGAAATTATATTAAAATGGAATTTTGAAAAAAAAATGTCTGTTTTAACTTTAATTTAAGTGATAGACAGGTTGCGGGGACAGAAAATAAATATACACAACAATATACACCATTTAAACGAAACATAATGACTGTCGTTGCAAAAATCAAGGTTCCTGAGCTATTTTAAAAATCGAAGCGATAGGCTTTTAACATTGCAGTATAAAATACAGGCTAAAATGGCAGAAACGTCAAATTTGCAAACTTCGTGTTGAAAATTGGCTAACAAGGTCATTACAAAAACAGGTTGCGGGGATCATCGGAAACTTGAAACTTGAATGTCCAAAGAATAAGCAAGTCCAAACCTTGTATGTGTAGTCGTTGAACTCTAGGCTCCCACGTAAAGTTAAAATGCCCCTATTTCAAGAAGAATAAACTCACGAAAACACGAAAAATTCACTAAATTCGCGTTCATTGTTTTGATTTTGACCGCCTGTCAACTTTACGGAAATATCAGAGTGATTATAAACAAGGACTCTGTGACGGGCAACTTATAATATCCGTGTTTTAAAGATTTTAATGATATCAAGCCAGTCCAGTTCAAACTATTATCACGTGGTACAATTCTCGTTTACATATTATGAATATTAATTAGCAAAAGTACTACTAATTTCTGGGGTCGTTGATACCATTAAGAATTGAATAAACTTTTAACTCTCATTCTAGTATTTCATTCAAAAACCCTTATGGTGTTAAACACCTGTTTTACTTCCATTACAAACAAATTACCAGTATTCTATGTGTATATAAAAACTGCTTGAATTTAGTATTAATAACTTGAAAACAAATATATATACTCCAGGGACACTTACTAGATAGAGTTGGAGAAAAACTGTTCATTTTATTTTATTTTGGATTTAAACAAAGACGGGATGAACTCTTTTGGCATTGTACTGAATAACCAAATTATCAAAATGGTAAAGTTGAAGTCATCTCGTGGGTGATTTTATGAACGCCATTATGATTTAGTTGACCGGTACGGAATACCTGTGTCACAGATGACCAAAGATATGATATATTTGTCGTAGACTAAATCAACGAATGTGACTTATAACCGATTTTTTATTTGCCATGAACAACACTGCGCATGACTCTAATAAAGGAACTGTTTGTCTATCCGGAGCACCTGTGAACATCCGAACTTGATGGGTTTTTTTTCCCACTTTTGATCATTTTCTATATATTGTGCTGTGGACTTTTGTTTCCAATGGCTTTTATTTGTGACAATAGTATTGTCTGTTTAATTTTAAACAATATATGGCATTTCACTGCCCTCTTCGACTTATGAATAAATGGAGTCATCATATGTTATGTCTCTTTTTTTGTATCCTTCTCGTCTTATTCAAAACACTCTACGTTAATGTTATCGTGTTTAAATGCTTACTAATTGCAATTTCGCTATTCATTTTATAAGATAACTTGTAACTACCGAATATTCTTATTTCCATTTTGCAGGTAGGTAATTATTCACATTAATAATTGCTTATTTTGGGAAACAAAGAATTAAACACAGTTAAACAAAATATGATTGTGTGGAAGTGTAGTGTAAAGAGTGGAAAAGTCAAAACTGTCAACCGAATCAAAACAACCATCAAAAGCACGTAATTCATCTAAAACATCTAAAGAATTTTTTACACTCCAAAAATGATTAATTCCACTATTTTCATATGTTTTATTACAAAAATAAATGATCAGTTCTTTGATAGTAGTTAAGGAACTCGTTAAAAGCACTGAAATTCTAGTAGTAGAACACTTACTAGAGGCCGAGATGAAACGATATTTTACGGGTTTTTTGTGTAGTTTATGTAACCAATACATAGTGGGGCCCTTCAAATGTTCTAGAGAGGCTTTAAGCTGAGCATGGTTATTTACTATATGACTCTCTTTGGAGCGTACTGCTGTGAACAAGGTTTTTGGGTGTGTTCTGGGGGTTAAGGACGATTGAATATAGTGATGGCTCGTTCGTTTATACTTAAGGTTCTTCTATTGCTTATTATGCTGTAATTAGAACAAGCAATTTAATGTACAACTGTATTCAGTGCTGGTCGAATTGAAACTGACCAGCACTGACGCTTGTTACCCAATTTACAATTTACTTTCCAGGTGAGGTTCGGCAAGGTTTACTTTTTGTGTTAACAAATGGTTAGATTAAAGATTTCCCCTGGTTGGCCCCATAACAAAAAGGGGGAAGCTAACAAAAAATGTAGCTATTATATAGTTTACTTGACCTCATTTTCATGGTTCAGCAACTGCTTGAAGAAAAAAAAAACATTTGTTTTGTTTTGGTTTTTTTTTATCGTGTGAATTTCTCACTTGATATGAGTAATAGGATAACCATATTTGATATAAGGAATCTTGTATGTTTTTTTTAAATTCTAGTTCATTTATATGTTTCGGAGTTTAGTGTGACGTCCATTTCACTAAACAAGTACACATTTTTGTTTAGTGGCCAGCTGAAGCCCGCCTCCGGGTGCGGGATTTTCTCGCTGTGTTGAATATCCATTGGTGGCCTTTGGCTGTTTTCTGCTCTTTGGTCGGGTCGTTGTCTCAATTTAATGTCGTTCTTGCATGGTATCATATATTACCTTGACCACATTTTCATGGTTCAATGGTCAATGTTAAGTTTTCATGGTTTTGCCAGTTTATCGAATACTGTAAGCAGTACGTACACTATATTGGGTGTATGGAATAATTGTAAGGTCTACATGTCTGACAGGGTTCATCTGATCTTGACCTCATTTTCATGGTTCATTTGTCTATGTTAAGATTTTCGTGATTGGTCTGTTTTTCAGGGACTATCAGCAACAAGGCCACCATATGTGTTGTATATAATGATTGTAATGTGTACATGACTGTCTGACATGGTTCATCTGACCTTGACTTCATTTTCATGGATCCTTGATAACTTTAAGTGTACGTTATGTTTGTAGTAAAACCTTCATATGACAGACTTTAAAATAATAATTCAATCATGATAAATAGAGCAGGCGATACATTTCAGCGTGTGCACTCCTTTTTCATCGAAACAAGCAAATAACACGCAATTCCTTGTAACTGTGAAGATTTCGAGGAGCGGAATATCTTTTTCTTTTTCAATGTTTAAAAGTTGAAGAAGACTGTGATCATCTATTTCAATAAATAATGAAAAGTTTCCAAATTTTCTAAAACTTTACAAAAAAAGGATAAATTATATGGCTTTTGACCACAAAAAAATAAACCCATTCTCATTGTAGTTAGTAGAGCTATCATCAAAAACAATTAATAGTGCGCATGGCTTTTCTGTTTGTATTGCCTAAGGCACGAAGAGGACATCAAACAAGATATTCATAACGTAAATTAAAAATAATTTAAATACTATTCATGATGAATTAAGCCTGAGTCATTCACCGATTAATTCAAGGTCCAAATGCTAAAAATATTACTCTGTTGTAAAAAATGTATTTTCGAATGTCAATGTGAATAAATGGTGAATAACCCCGTAGGCCCCCTATTGTAAATGGGAACCAAGGATTTGTATAGTAAGATCTAACTGTAGAAATCCTTGATGGAAACAAACTAATTTTTTCACTTCCCTACTGAAACAATTTTTTTTTTCAAGAAATTGTGAATCAAACAATAATATAGGAGAGAGAATGGTATATTTTAAACGAACTAGCGCCAGAGACATATCTGCTATCGCCTTTCCATTATATCTAAAACACTTTTAACTGATGTTGACGAAGATCTTTCTTCAAGTTGGTCGGTCTCTTCTTATTGACCAACTAAACAAGTTAGCGAAAAGAACTTATTTATGTTCGTCACCCTCCTCAGAATATTTTAGTATTTTTGTGTTTATCCCCCTCCTCAGAATATTTTAGTATTTTTATGTTTATCCCCCTCCTCAGAATGTTTTAGTATATATATTGTTGTCCCCCTACTCGGAATGATTTTAGCATATTTATGTGTGTCCCCCTCCTCCTACCCTCTTTGTATATTTATTAAATGGTCCAAAATGTGCATTTTCTATGTTCGTGATGTCTTCAGTTTGTACACACTTTCAGCAACCAGAAAGATGAATAACTCAAAGACGAATTACCCACAGATGGAATTACATTACCATCACAAATACGAAATGTAATAATTTGTGCTGGGGACGAGCACTTCAGGGAAGTAGTGGAGAATATAACCGGAAGAAAAGTGACATTGGGAACTTTTACTATATTCGCAAAGTGCTATATATGAACTCTCGTTTTAGATTGAATATTTCTCGTTTTAGTTTTAAATTGAATATTTCCTGTTTTAAATGTTTCTTTATTCTTAAATATAATGTTTCTTCGTTTCAAATCCCCAAATAGATTATAGATTTCAGTAATTTACAACTTAATCCGATGGCAGTTAAAAGTGCGAAGATAATACATGTATCTTACACTCAACTACAAAAGAAGCAATTATCGCTATTTTCTTAAGTTTAGAACGAGGACAACAAGGATTTGTATAGTGAGATCTCACTATACAAATCCTTGAGGACAATAATCCGTTTATGATTACATAAGATTAGACAATGTTGATATATTTTATGAGAACCTTTTATAATGTTTTTAAGATCCTTAACTTGGGATTAATGAATTAAAATATGTTTTATAAACTGTTGCTTGAGCAGTCTTCCCCTAGCTCTCAAGCTGTACACTTGTGAATAAATTTGTATATATTGTATACGGTCTTGCGTTTTAAGCAGCCACAGTGTCGGTTATAGACCAACAGACTTTAATGTAACCCGTACCGAAGTTTACGGGGTTATACAAGCGCAAAAAGTACATCCTCATTATCGGTGGAGATTTCAACCTCCCCGACATCAATTCGTCAAGTCAGCCCATACAAACAAAGCAATATCCTGCTTATATCAACCAATCGTACTTAGACACAACAACAGATAATGGTCTAACACATTTAGCGGATTTTCCAACAAGTAAGAAAACACGCTGAACCTGATCTTTACAGCACATCCATCATTAAAATAGCGCTGAAAACCACTGCCTTCCATTGGAAATAGTGATCACGACATTGTAATTCTGGACCTAGCTTGGAAACCAGTAAAACCCAAAACTATTAGACTGAAATTTACCTCTGGAAAATAGCTGAGACTCATAAAATACAAGAGGATTTAACAACATTGTCATAGCCTTCAAGAACCAAACACATCAGAGTATGGAAATTATATGATAGACTTTTAAATCAACAATTAACACCATCATAGAAAAGCAGAGTACCAACAAAATCAAAATACACCAATCAGAGGATGAACACCGAGGTCAGATGGAAAATCAGCCAAAAGCATAGAGCCCATGCTAAAGCCAGGAAAATAAAAATGAAAAAGACAAAGACAGGTACAAGAATCTACAGAGAGAAGTTTTAATATGAAATCAGAATAGCAAACAAACAGTACATGACAGATGTTATATGATTAAGATAACACCAACAGATTATGGTCATATATCAAAGGACAAGAACTTATAGAATGATAGCGGATATGTTCCAAATGTCGTAACTACAATCCCGTCACCTTTCCCCTAATGTGACCTACAAAATTAGAATTATTACCGGGTTTGTACTAGCATGAGCAACATGACGGGTGCCACAAGTGGAGCAGGATCTGCTTACCCTTCCGGAGCACCTGAGATCACCCCCAGTTTTTGGTGGGGTTCGTGTTGCTCAGTCTTTAGTTTTCTATGTTGTGTTTTGTGTACTATTGCTTGTCTGTTGGTATTTTTCTTTTTTAGCCATGGCGTTGTCAGTTTATTTTCGACCTATGAGTTTGAATGTCCCTTTTGTATCTTTCGCCTCTCTTTTATAGGAGTTGCACCATTAAAAAACCAAACTTCCCAGACAAAGGACCAAGTCCATTTCCAACAATGAAGGGTATTAACATCACTGAACATGGAGTCTATAAGCTGTTGAAGGACCAGAAACCTTACAAAGCATCAGGTCCAGACGACATCCCAGCTTTTATAGAATTTTTTTATAGCTCTCTCTCTCTCTCCACTTGATCACTGTTTATACGAAAAATGAGTTTGAATATTGTGGTGTTTTACTCTCAAAACACTTTATGTTGTTCTTAACTTGTTTTTCCACAATATTCATTATCTGGTTATTGTCAAATTTCTTGGCAGTAATTATTCTTTTTGGACGTGCTTTTCTTAAATATTCGTCTGGTTCATTAGCAGGAACTAGCCCCTCAACCACCTTGTACAGAAATATTAGCTTCTGGCTTGAGCGTCTTGTCAGTATATCTTGAAGTTCCAATTTGGCGAGCATATTTGAGACGCAACCATCTTCTCTGAATTTGTAGTCTCTCGTTATAAATCTTGCAGATGTCACTGCATTCTTTCAAGCTTGTTGAAGTTTGTAGATGTGTAGGGTCCCATACTATTGCTCCATACTCCATTGTTGACCTGACCAGCGAAATATATGCTGTTTTCTTGCATTCTGGTGACCGGGCAATATCATCTCAAATTCATTCTCAGGAGGCCTAGTGTTGAGTTTGCATGTTTCGTTACGCTGGAAATATGGGGAGTCCATTTCAGGTCCTCTGAAATTTGTAGGCCCAAGTATGGGTTATGTTGGACTTGTTGTAGAATATGTCCGTTGAACTGTAGAATTCTTGGCCCTTGTTTTTATGTTTAAAATGTAGCATTTCTTTGCGTTGAACCTCATTCCCCAGTTATTTGCCCATACTTCTAGGCTCTTTTAGTTTAGATCTTCTTGGAGGATGTCATGGCCTTTCTGTGTCTTTATCGATCTGCAGAGAATTATTCGTGACGGGTTAATACATTAAACACGAAACCGTAAGACATAAGTAGCTCATTAGAATTTTTAGGCTTAAAAAGAAATCTTAAATTCCAGGTAAGCGTTTAATTTTATGAAACATATAAGGCATTCAACTTGTATTTACCTAGTTCATGCCATGCCTTAAAACTTTCCAGGCGCACAACTTTGTCTGTACGTGTTCAGATTAAATTTCAAGTGTGGTGTAAAATGGCCATATTTTTCAATTCCTTCTGATGAACCTTAAACAGTCGGCAACGACTCCAAGAAGAAGAAGAGGGGGAATATACCGGGTTTCGCTGAGTTACAAACTGTGACTGGGTCATAAAGTAAAGAGAGTCGGACACCGTGTTAAATTTGATATTCCGAAATTAATATCGTAGCTGTATCCTGACTTTCTTTGATAGTACTTTTACGTGGGAAAATTCAACATCTGCAATCCAAAGCCAATGCAAATGTATGATCTTACAGGTAGTAGTCAGCACAGGGTTACGGTTTCGTGTTTACGTATAAACCCGTTTATAATAAATAATTCACAATATTATTTTTCCATAAAAGATGTCATGAAAGTCATCGATATTTGAGGTTTATGGCCCTTCTGTAGGTCTGTGTGTTACCAAGGAATTATAAATCCTTGGAAAAGTGCTACAAAAACTACAGAATAAAAGTGACGTGCCGTTTTGTACATATAGCAAAGGGGAATGTTGTTCGAAGCAATACTGTTTATTGTTTCATTGCATTTTACAGAGAATAGGAATTTTGTAGCAAATACATATAGTCAAGATTTTTGCAGAAAATGAACAGACTTTATTACAGAGATTTTCGTAATAAATTTTTTAAACATAGATTTATACTCGCTTGCTCTTCCATGATGTGCTACAGTGGTGTTTATTGTATACAAAAAGTCCTACACAACCTTTAGAATAAAAAGTAAACACTGTTCAGAGGCTTAGTGTTCAAATTTTCATTGGTATGGCAGGAAATCTTATGGGTCGCGAAGCGACTCATTCTGCCTTGTAGAGGTGTATATTCGGCAGGGGGTACTGGTGCCGCACAAGTCTCCCGGAAATTTTTGGATAAATGGGCCATAAATGATGCAAAATCATGCATTCTGACTCTCTCCTGACACCTTGCTAAGGGTCTTGGCATGTTAAACAGGGTTTGTTACTCATATTAGTCCAGCAAGGGCTGGCTTCAGCGACTCATTTTTGATTTTGTTTATTTTTTTGCTGTAAGTGACAAAAAAAAAACAAATAAAAAATAAAAATGAGTCACTGAGGCTAGGGCTGGTCTATCATTATGTACTTTTCTTTCAAAGGGTCAGGCAAAGGGTGGCACATCGACTTTGTGACTGCAGGAGTAATATCCACAGCATATATTCCTACCGCTTGCTTTCAGATTTTAGCGTCACGGAAACGCTTACTTTCAGCTTTTTGTTCACTATCACACAATAGATTGTAAATTTGTAGAGGGTGAAACTCCAATATTACGACAAATAATATACAACCAAGTGCCTCACAGAACTTTCGCATATTTGGTCTTTTATTTTTTCATAAAACTTACTTTACAAAAGCGTGTTCAAATGTATTTAAAGTTTAACACTTTTTGTTAAATGACGAAAAGTTTGTAATTTCAAATCAAAAGAGTGTTAAATAACAAGAGAAAATTAATCGCATTCTGATTTTCGTATGTTATGTTCAAAATGCAACTTTCTTTGCAAAAACTCTTTAAACAGCTGAGTTGTGGACTGTTTAAGTGCTTATATTCAAGCATTTGACCGTAAAATTTGAAATTTTTTCGACCGATTTACAGTGTCAATAAATGTGTTGTTGAAGTCAGTTTATTATGTTTATATTCCCATCGTCCTGGTGACTAGAAGCAGAATGATGTGTAGTTTAACCATAATGATTACTTATGAATAATTACCTGTAATACACAGGGAAGCTGCATTATACAGGAAGTTGCCATCGCCGGAATTAAGACTTGGAACAACTCCATCTTTTGTATTTTCATGTGTACTTAAACTTTGTGTTGTGTGCAAAGTGTCTGACACTATTTTTGTTGCAAAAAATTGCCTCACAATGTTTGTATCAAAGAGACAACAACCCGACCAGAGAGCAGAAAACAGCACCAAGGCCACCAATGGGTCTTCAACGCAGCTAACATCTAGCACCCACTGACCCAGAAGCCATTTTCATGTAAAATAATAAAGAGTTCCATTTCTTTTGCTTATTTTCAACTGGATATCCACTTAATACAATCTGAACTTGTGTTGTTTAGGAAAGACCTTTTACATAATGTATTATATTTTTCTTAAAAACTATAAATTCAAAATTTATTGCGTGCATTTATTATTGCTATTTTTTAAGAATGAACTAAAAAGCAAGTTTAGGATAAGCTACACACAGATGTATGTATCAGATATCAAAATGCATGTTCTTAATATTGTGATTCTCAAGGAGTGCACGTGGCATTATTCACATTGATAAAAACCTTGCAAAAAAATTGGAATCATTTCTGAATTTACTTAAAATGTACAGTTTTTTAGCTCTTTGACTGGATCTGACTAAAGAGCGTATGCATTTATATTTTTGATTAATTTTTTCAAAGTTTAATGCATGTTCTTTTTTTAATTTTGTTTCTTTTCACAGGATAATACTGCAAAAAGTGAATGGACTTATGAAACTGAAGAATATGGAAATGAAGGTACATATATATATAACATCATAATTAGGCTGGAATTTGGACTGGAGGGTTGTGTTATCATTGGATAAGACACTTAATTAGCATCGCAATATGATCTTATATTACATTGTAGCCTTTTATATCCATGGTAAACATGATATTGTGTTGATGTTTAAAAGTTCTCTGATCAGGTCAATCTACTTGCATGTTGACACACCCTACAACTAACCTGTAACATTTTCATTAAAACCACACAAGTCAATAAGTGTTTCATTTAGTTTTCCTTTAGTTAAAGTTTTTGAATCTTCTGGAGTTCTGTTTCACATTTCTAGCCTAAATGGACAAATCTTTTTCTCTTTGATTTAAAAAATGACATGGTCTACATGGTCGAATTTAAGGTCTCTCAGATGTTTTTAAAAATGCGAGCATTAATTGTCCTATTTTTCAACAAGCAGTTAAGATATGAGGAAGTTTGCTTTAAATGAGCGTTTCAATTTACATAACCAAAATATTTTATTTCAGTGTCTGTGACTGTTTTATTTACAATGTACACAGACAAGGAAGTATTATATATCTTTTGTCCTTAAGGTGCAGATGAATTTAATTGTAATATCAATCTATAAATATGCATGAAATTTTAATGTTGCATGCAGGTAAATTGGTATTTTCTAAAAACTTCCTTAGTTTGATAGTTGGCTACTGTCCAGATTTTTCTACTCTGAACAAATACAAAAGCTCTACTTCTATACCTTAAAATTATTAATAGGCAATGAGATAGTTTTATGATGAATATTGCAATTAATGTTGGAGGAAATAATACATTTCAGATCTGAAGGAGTTAAAATTAAAATAGTTGTGTCTGTATGTTTATGATTAACTAGATGTCTCATCTGAATTTATTGTGTTGATAAGTTGCTCTTTCATTGACATATACACTACATTTTATTTTATTGAATATATGTTGTTAGTGATTATAAAATGGAGGTCAAGTTCAATATTGAAGATTTTCACTTTTCATGTTCAGGAGTTATGGTCCTTGATAGATTTTAAAATTGCACTTTATGTTGTTTCCTTTTAGTTATCTTTGAACCATTCAACCAATACTTTTCAAACTTGTAAAATATGTTGTTACTTATGACAAAATGGAGGTCGGTTTCAAATTGATGATTTTCACTTTTGCCGTTCAGGAGTTATGGTCCTTGATAGATTTGAAAATAGGCACAGAATATGGCAGATCAAACCAGCCTGACAGCGCTTTCAAAATAGGAAAAACCCAGTTTGCTGTCAATTTGACAGCTCTTATCTTCTTCTATTATAAAGATTTTCCTTTAAAAGTATTCAGAGAAAGGATTTAGATTAGGATTCAAGGTATATATTGAGTGGATAATAAATTTCTTTTTTCTCTAGGTCATCATAATGCATCGTACTCAGTTGTCAAGACTGCAGATGGAATCCAGTTTAAAAAATTCAGACATAGTACACCAATACCTAATGCAAAAGGTGTACATCAAAAGGTAAGTAAATGAGGGTTTTAGTCATTTAAGTAAATGGTAGATAATTTTGAAGCTTTGATCAATTTCATGTTTATACACAATGCTTATTACCACCAAGCACAGATCAATCTCAAATTTGGGTGGCGTCACTTTCACCGTTCATGAGTGATGTCTCCTCATAAATGGAAAATTTGCAGAATTTGCTGTTTCCACACTCTAACTTTACTCTTTCTTAACCAAATGTTATGAAACTTATACACAGTGCTTATTGCCACTAGAGACAGATTTAAGTTTGAATTTGGGTGGCTTCGCGTTCACTGTTCTTGATTTATGTCCCTTTATAAATGGAAAAAATTGTTGAATTTGCCATAGATTTACAAGTAGGGGAATCTGTGTCCTTCTTTTATTGTTTGCTAATAGTTGCATGTTTATTAACTGAATGAGCATTTAAAATCTTACACCATTAAAAAATTGTCAATTTTTTAGTTTTTTACAGTAAGTATCAATATTTTGTCTCAAAAACGTTTTTCTAAAATTTGTGACTAGATTATTTTAAATTAAAGCAGCTCATACAATTTTAATTATCCACTGGATAGTAGGGTACTGCTTGTTTCATTGCATGAATTTAAAAAATATAAAATTTTGAATGCTAAAGTTATATTTTTTAGTACAATATATGTTCATAGTAATTAATGGATTATTTTGTTATACCCATTTGTAGGAGAGGGCTAGATTGCAATAACATTGTCCATCCATTCCATTTGGATTGAACAAATATTTTTGTCAATCTTTTCTCAAAAACCACAAAACAATGACTTCATATTTTGTCTGCAGTGAAGAGTTGTTAATGTAACATGTGAGCACTTTTCTGTGGCTAATACTTGGAATTTTTCAATATGTTAAATGAACAGAACAATTTTTCATCACACATTTCTGAGGGGCCTGATGGGTTATTTTCGTTATTCGTGATCGGCGCATTTTCGCTATCGTGATCCGTTTTTCTACAGATTTTTTTTTTTTTTATATTTTCGTGATCCGTGATCATGTAAATTTATTTTCTGTGAATCGTGATTGACAAAAAAATCAACTCGTGAATCGTGATGAGACCCCCCATCAGGCCCCTCATTTCTCCTACACTACTGCAGCAGAACAGAATGATTTCCTTTTTTTGGAACAGATTAACAATAATGTTATAATGAGTGTGCACTTTTCAGATCTGCAGACACCAACTTCCTGTTTTCCCATTCTTTGAATGAAGAGATGAGGTAGGCGTTGCATAACAACGCATGCAACTCTTTTTGTTTTGAATTATTGAAATTACAGTGACCATCGACATTCTTTTTTGTTCCAATTTGTTTTATTCATTCATTTCTATGCCCAGTGAATATTAGGTTTTTTTACGGACTCATTCCCATTTTGCCATTAATGGACATACATGATTTCATTCATGCAATTAACTTTGATTCATTCAGGTTCTGCATTTTGATCACAATCTGGGAACTGTTAAAAGAGTTGTGGTTGAAGAAGAATTTACATCTCCACAAATGGCACCTAAGTAAGTCAATAACATGGATACTATATACTGATTTATAAGTGGATATAACTGCTAATGAGAGAACTACCAACCAAAGATCATATTAAGGAGGTAGACCTAGGTTAAGGGAAATAACTCTAAAAATCCTCAGTACATTTGTGTTAGCCATTTTCATAAATATATTCTAAGCTTCTAGAATACATAGATTATTTCCAATCTGTTTCAGGTAAATGCTTAAAATACATTGATGAAACTTGACTTTTACAAACACATCACTGAATTAAAGAGTTATCTCCCTGAACCAAGGTCTATCGCCTTAAGGGGGATCGCGGGTTTAAATTTTTGCGCCTACTGCGCAGGATGTTGCGCAATGATATCGTAAGTCATACCTATTCTCGTAATTGGCAATAACAATTAATTTTGATTATTATAAATAATCTATTTGATTTGAATATATTACCAAAGAGTGTTGTAATTGAAAACTGTAATTTTAAAATTTTATAAAATTTATTATTGCAATTTTCATTGTTGCAAATACACTTCCGTTTAGGGGAAAATGGCATGTTCTTGCCAGTGAGAGGAGATAAAGACAAGATAAAATATAATAATCGAACACGTAGGCTGCTTTTCATGAATACTGAAACGCAGATCGAAAATAATAGAACACGATCTTCATTTTAGTAGCTTATGAAGCAGTTTCACACTTGTTTTACACTAAAAAAGGACCAGGAATTGTGCGTAAAATGTATGTAATATTTTGTAAACAAAGGAAATATACTGTAATGTAAGTATTTCTTCTCTAAGTTTCTAGCGATCCTTCATTTATTGAAGATTATTCGCCGGATATTTAACATTGTCTGCAATGATCCAAGCACAAAAGTGATTCACGACCACAAAATCATTTTAAAGGGTAAAATTAACAGAAATGATTTTCAGCTAAATTCGTGAAAAAAAAACAGTGACAACCATGAGTGTGTATAAAATTGAGAATGGAAACGGGGAATGTGTCTAGACAACAACCCGACCAAATAGCAGAAAACAGCCCACGGCCACCAATGGGTCTTCAAAACAGGGAGAAAATCCCGCACCCGGAGGCAGGATCCAGCTAGCCCCTAAACAATAATATTTTAATGGGATCTCCTGTAGTTGGTGATCGCAATACTGGTATACCAGTATTGTGCACAATACTGGTATACAAATTTTGTACCAGTATTGTAACTTTTTTTTTAAAACAACAATACTAGTACATTACTGATACACCAGTATTGTAGTTGTATTGTAGACAATATCTTAAGTGTATTTTTAAGTCCAGGAAATTTGAACATCAAACTAAACTCCGAAACATATAAATGAACCAAAATTAAAAAAACATAACAAGACTAACAAAGGCCAGAGTTTCCTGACTAGGGACAGGCGCAGACAATTTTGCTGGGGGGTTAAACATGTTTGGTGAGATCTTAACCCTCCCCCTATACCTCTAGCCAATGTGGAATAAGCAAACACACAGCAGTACCCACAGTAAAGTACATGTAGGTCAAAGTACAATGTTCTTGTGATAAATGTTATGACAAATTATTTACAGACCTTAGGGTCCAGGAGTCGGTTTCACAAAAAGACTTACAACTAAGATTATTCGTAAGTCATGAACAATTCAGTATACTTATGATCAATCTAAATCGTAAGTGTTTTTGTGAAACAGACTCCTTGTGTGTTGACTACATCACCATTTATTTGTGGACCTTAGAGTCCAGTCTGGCAGGTGTGTTTTCTACATCAGACACCATTAGTAATGACCATTTGATTTTCGGGAAAAAGTGCAGGAGTTTCTTTTGCAAACAGAATTTTCATTTACTCTGTTGTTAGTCTAGCTTATTTGAATATGACTCATTTTAAATTTGCTCTGATTCCTGTTGTCACATACTTGTTTTCCCCCCAAGATGTTTTTCACTAATTCCAGTTTGTACTGCTACTATTGGGTAATCTCACTGGGATTTTTTTATAATAAAACTAAGAAACTACTAAAAAATATGAGCTCTTTAAACATTTTATGTACATTTTTTTTGGTTGTGCACTGTTTCACGGGAAAAACTTGTATTTCCAATCCCCAAAAAACTAACAATTTTGCTCAGCTGTATACATGTTGTATATTCAATTATTGGGGAGTAACCCCACCTCTAAAACTTGGCACATATCAAGCTGTGTTGAATATTTAATGATAAGGTGAAGTTGATTATTAAAGTATATATTTTAAACAATTTACTATTGGATTAAAATTTTTGTTCTCTTTGCAAAATCTTAGGAAACGACCATTTAACTTCAAGGGGGGTGGGGTTATGGTTTTTTCCTAAAAAAATATTCTGATCCCCAATTTGATGAAAAAAAATTGTTCTGACTCAGACAAAAATCCATAAACCCCCCCTTGAATTTAAATGTTTGCTCCCTTATGTCAAATGCCTTAATTAATAAAGTTATACCAGTATGTGTTTTGCTAGAACAGTACACTGTTCATGGACAGAATTAAAAATTTAGATTAATTCAAATCAGGCTGTGCTTAATCAGATGGGATTGAATAATAGTTCTTATAATTATTATCACAGTGGCAAAATGTAAAAGGTTATTAATCATGTTCATGTTATTTCACTGATTTGATACTATTATAATTTCTTTATTACATATAAATGAATGTACATATAAACATATGGGAAGTGAAAGTTTTTGATCTTTCCCTATTTCTACATTTGAATGCCATCATACAATGGATCTGCATAATATAGGATCCCAATTTATTCAAACTTTTTATTAATGATCTACCTGATGTTTTCTCTTCTTGTGCTAACCATGTCAATGTTAATAACCAAAGGGTTGATTGTTTAATGTATGCTGATGACATTGTAATTCTCTCAGATTCATCAGAGGGATTGCAAGTGAGGTTAACTATGTTTAATAATTACTGTTCTAAATGGTGTTTAAATGTAAATGAGAACAAGACAAAAGTTATGATTTTTAATAAAACAGGGAGACATTTTAATCTCCCTTTTTACCTAGGTGAGAAAGCTATTGGTTGTACATATAATTATAAATATTTGGGCATCACTTTTATACCCAGTGGAAAATTTTTTCAATGTAAAGATGAACTGTACAAAAAGTCTATGAAAGCATGTTTTAAATTACAACTATGTATGTCATCGTCAAACCTTAGTGTTTCAACTTTACTTCATTTATATGACCATACTGTAAAGCCAATTTTAACATAGGCGGATCCAGGGGGGGGGGCCTTGGGGGTCCGGGCCCCCCCTTTTGTGGGAAAAATTTGGTTGATTATATAGGGAATCACTGAAGCATGACTGGAGTGGGCCCCCCTTAGGTCAGTCAGCGGGCCCCCCCCCTTATGAAAAGTTCTGGATCCGCCACTGTTTAACCTATGGATGTGAAGTCTGGGGTATGTTTTCTGTTAACTCAGCTGCAGGTAAGAAAAATGATCAATATATTTTAGAAAAGGTGTTTTCAAATGATACATCTGAAAAATCACATATCAAATTTATGAAATATGTTCAAGGTGTAAATAAGAAATCCAGTAATCTTGCTGTGATTTCTGAACTAGGGAGATACCCAATGTATTTTTATATTATATTAGCAATGTTAAAATATTATCATCGACTAGATAATTCTAAGAACATGTTATTATATGATGCATATTTATGTAGTAAAGAACTTCACAATAATAAAGTGACTACATGGTTCTCAAGTATAGACTGTATTTTACAAAAGCTGGGCATACAAACATGTAATTTAAAAACCAGTATCTACTCTTTCACAAAATTTGTCAGAGATAAGCTATATAAAAACTATCTCCATTTCTGGAAGGAAAATAGAAATAAAGTATTACAATCAGATCAAGGTAAACTTAATACCTATTTTTCCTTTAAAACTCTTATTTTGTTTTGAAAAATATTTGGATCTAAAATATTTTAGATTAAGGCAATCAATCTGTAAGATTAGAATAAGCGCTCATCCATTAAGGATTGAGACTGATAGATATGCCAAAATTTATGTGAATAGAGCACTTAGAAAATGTTTATACTGTACATAAATAAAGTTGAGGATGAGATACACTTTGTGACTGAATGTCCACTATATGTTGATAATAGAAATGAGTTTTTTACTGAAATTTCTTTAACTTGCAATAATTTTCAATCTTTAGACAATTTTTATACGACCGCAAAAAATTTAATTTTGCGGTCGTATATTGGTATCACGTCGTCGTCGTCCGAAGACATTTGGTTTCCGGACAATTACTTTAGTAAATGTGAATAGAAATCTATGAAATTTAAACACAAGGTTTATAACCACAAAAGGAAGGTTGGGATTGATTTTGGGGGTTATAGTCCTAACAGTTTAGGAATTAGGGGCCAAAAAAGGGCCCAAATAAGCATTTTTATAGTTTCCAGACAATAACTTGTGGAACGGGTATGGATCTCTCTGAAATTATACCACAAGTTTCCATACCACAAAGGGTTGGTTAGGATTGACTTTGGGGGGTTAAGTTTTGCATTTAGTCCCATTTCTCAGAAACTTATGGTAATATATCAATGATATTTATTCACCACAGATATCTTGTATACTAATAGTACAACACATTACTTGAGTCACTATGACCTACCGTACATTTCATGCTTTAGCGTCTTTGGTTAAGTCTTGTGTTTAGGTTCATTTCATAGAACCTATAGTGATATATCACCACTACAGTATTCTTTTATAGTACCACACAGCTCATCAACAATTTGATTACTGTGACCTACATTTAATGGCAGGACATCCTGTGTCTTATAGACACATGTTCTAGTTAATACAAATCTAACACACTATTGAACCTGAATTTTTTTATGACAATAATGTATGTAATTTCAAAAGCATAAAACTGATAAATCGACAGATATTAAAATAAGATTAAATGGCTGGTGTATCATGTTCAACTATCTCATGTATTAATCTTTATACATAAACAAGTACTATGAAATGAAAGAAGAATTTGTTTATGTCTATGTCAAACTTAAATATAAAGTATAATTCATTATACAACAAACATAGAAGCTGTCCTGTGTGTTATATTTGTCAGCATTATGTCTAAAATTTCAAATATATATAAAAAGATGGGATATGATTGCCAATGAGACATGGCATGATTGCCACTGCCAAAAATTTCCACCAGAGACCAAAAGACATAGAAGTTAACAACTATAGGTCACCCTAAGGCCTTCAACAATGAGCCAACTCCATACCGCACAGCAAGCTATAAAACGAAATGACAAATGTAATGCAATTCAAAAAAGAAAACTAACAGCCTGATTTATGTACAAAACACAAAAAAATTAAAATATGACAACAACAAATGACAACCACTGAATTACAGGCTCCTGACTTGGGACAGGTACAGACTACATATTAATCTAAACCTTTAACTTTTTTCTCAAAAACCAAGAAAGTGTAACATAAGTCATGAAGTTTGCAGATAAACATAGTTCCAAATGCCAGTATGCACCTTTTTTATTCTTTGATGGAATTGATGTTTCAGGTTTCCCATATCAGACTTGGAGGAAAAGAGGGGAAATTGATTTTGTTCATCTATCTAATCATCTATAGTAGACTAGTACATCTTGTATGTCCTATTGACATTAGATCTAATAAGGAGCATTTTTCCTAGTAGGTCATTATCTATAAAAGTTTGGTACTTTTCCCTCTAAATATTTGGTATTTAAAATTGTCTGGATTGTTCCCTACAATCCAAGTTTGACTATTTTAACAATGGTGACTTTGACAATTGAATTATATAATCATTCTGTTCCACCTTCCACTTCTTGTTTTACATAATGTATTAAACTAAGTATGTCTGTAAACTTTGATTTACTAATCAAATGATCTCATAAAAAACACTTCAAAATTTATGAATTAGCATTAATTTAAGAATGACATGACCTTGACCTTTGACCTTATGACTTGACCATATGACCTAAAATTCAATGTGGGCCTGCATATCACTACGGGTATTGTAAACCAAAATTAGGTTTTCATTTCATATAGTTTTGGCTAAAAACGGGAGAAAAAGTTGAATTTTATTTAAAATAGCAATTTTTTTGTTGCCATGGTTTCACCCTTTTAGTGAGTTATCTCTCTCAAAAGATCGGTGACCCCCATTTTTATTGTACCCCCGCTTTAAAAAAGGGGGGATACTGTTTTACCTCTGTCTGTCCTTCCGTCAGTCCATCGGTCAGTCCGTCTGTCCCATGAATATTTTCGTCGCATTTTTCAGGAACTACTTGACAAGGATTTCTGAAATTTGGTTTCAGGGTTTATATAAGTAAGTTACACTGTGTGATGCGTTATCAGATTCATCACTCAACAACTTCCTGTTTACAGAACACTTGTATTATTTTACACATGATAGCCAAGTTGAAAATTTTCGTCACATTTTTCTCAGGTACTACTTGATAAGGATTTCTGAAATTTGGTTTCCGGGTTTATATAAGTAAGTTACACTGTGTGATGCGTTTTCAGATTCATCACTCAACAACTTCCTGTTACCGAACATTCGTATTATTTTACACATGATAGCCAAACTGAAAATTTTCGTCACATTTTTCTCAGGAACTACTTGACAAGGATTTCTGAAATTTGGTTTCAGGGTTTATATTAGTAAGTTACACCTTGTGATGCGTTTTCAGATTCATCACTCAACAACTTCCTGTTTACGGAACACTTGTATTATTTTACACATGATGGCCAAGTTGAAAATTTTCGTCACATTTTTCTCAGGAACTACTTGACAAGGATTTCTGAAATTTGGTTTCAGGGTTTATATAAGTCAGCTATAACATGTGATGCGTTTTCAGATTCATCACTCAACAACTTCCTGTCTACCGAAATATTCCGGCGGGGGTATCATCAGTGAGCAGTAGCTGACAGTTTTACTTGATTTTGTTGCTTTTTCTGAACTTCACTTATTATTCTCTTAGAATAGAAAGTTTAATGGAAATCTGTAATTTAGTTCTCTTAATTTTTTTAGGATGACGGTAATGCAGGTGATATTTTCCCTATTAGTCTTCTCCCGCCAAAAATGGATAATTGGATTAAGAATGTGAAATATCTTTCTTAAACCAACGGTGACCTATATATTTTTTAGCTGAACATGTAAAACTATACTTGTGCTTGTTTTAAAATAAATTTAAACAAAATCTTATATAAATTGTATCCGTTATTAAAATCTAAGTATGTCAACACACAATTTTCCCTATTATTCCTTTGTAAAACAGCCCAAAAACCTCATTATTTCGGTGGCCTATAAAATGCTTAAATGACCGGTGACCCCCTTATTTTATTTCATTATTGCTATCCACTCACTTTAAGGGATAAAATATCAAGTTTTCAGGAAATTCTTATATAAAGTGTTTATAACCTCGAGCCTCCTTAAGGCAAACAAATAAACATCTAAGGTACAACAAGGAACAAATTTTGATGGAATAAACTAAGTTTATATTAAACAAAGTGTAAAACAAATGAGAAAGACAAAATATCACAATTTATTTTAAAACCTCAAAATGAATATATATGGCTAGAAAGGTGATGATAAAAGGTCTTTAGGTGCTAAGGTTTGGAAGTACAATTAAACTAACATGCCAAATTTTCAAGCTCTTTCAGAGTTTTTCATGATTTTTTTCAGTTTTGATGCAGGAAAAGACATGAGAAAAGTAAAAGCAATGAATGACTTCAGCACTATGGGTAATATTTTTCATATGAAACTGGGTCATTAAAGAAATAAGAAGAAAAGGAGAGGTTAGGTTAATGAGACTACAACCAAGCCACCCAGAAAACTCAGACATTTAGAGGTCACATACAGCTTCAACAATAAAGAGATGTCTACATAATATGTCAAGCTCTATAGATCTCACTGAGACAAGATGAGTTGTGAATATCTATCAGAGGTTACCAAAGATCTATCATCAACACTCAATCTCCTACAGGACAATAAAAAATTTAATTTGGCTACAGACAACCTTTGACAATGTTCCTGGCTTTGGACAGGCACATGAACATGTTTGGGTGAAGAAGAATTATATCCTCCATCTTTTAATATCAATCACTGGGATAACGAAGTTATAAAGATGAACATACAATAAGAATAGGTTCAGAAGTACTTTACTCTATTATACGATCTGTTTTGTTCAGTAATATTTATATTTAAGTGTTTGTATTGTTCAGAAACTTACTTCGGCTACTGAAGGATTTGCTCTGTTTACAGAAAATCCTACAATGTCTGCTACAAACAAAGGAGTGTTAACATTTCTGAAGAAAGAATTAATCAAGGAAAAACCATACAGACCTGTAGATGGCATTTTAACTGACAGCATACACATTGGCAATGTAAGTGTAATTAAAAGTATAAATTCTTGTGAATTCAATCATTCAAAAGGGGAACAGTATATGTATGGAATATTTAAATAAAACATTTAAGAAAGTTTTCATTGTTTTATTTAGATAACTTTGATTTTAAACACAACAAACTCAATGTGTGATTAATGTTAGATGACTCCTTTATAAAAATAAGGAGATGTAGTATGATTGCCAATGAGACAACTTAATTGAAATTTTAGCTAAAATCGGGGCATCATCTAACCTAATACTTTGATAAATAGATATGTCCAACCAAGATCTATATAGATATAATATGATTATATCTTTGAAAAGGCATCTTGAAAGATTTTTTGGATTTATGTAATGAACATTATTTTCAGTATCGAAAGAAGGAATACAATGCCCAAAAAATTGCCCAGTTAAAAGAAATGATAAAAAAGAAGATCTACTGCATCAGGATAGAACCAGCAGAAGGTTTGTAAAATAACTAAGATAAACTTATGTTTTAGTCACTAAAAACCTTTTGGTCTATGTCTATTTTATCCATCATTGACCTATCCTAATTCATTTAGAGATAGAGAATATACTTTGCAATACCCAAGTTTTATGTCAGATCATTGGTTTTTATCATACCCCTGCTCCAAAAAGGGGTATACTGTTTGATCCTTGTCTGTATGTCTGTCAATCCCAGCAAATTTCCCTTGCATTTTTCTCTTGATCTACAAATCTGACCTTTCTAAAATTGGATATTGTAGATTAAAAAAATTTGGTGTGCAATTATGATTTCAATTTTAACGAATTGACAAAAGTTAAAGATTGTGACTTCAGGAAAAGCTGTGTACAGATATATGTATCGGATTACCGAATTTTAGTTCTTATAAATGTAATACTCACTCAGTCTTATTAGGTACATTGATTAAAACCTCACAATATCCTGCATTTGTTATGAGGCCCCATGTGAACATGCTAATCTATATGGTAAATTTGCTTCCTGTTTACCAAATACTTAAATGCGGGCATATCATTAACGAGCAATAGCTCGCAGTTCTACTCTCATATTACATTTCCTGGTATTGGTGTTACTTTCCTGGTAACAGCATTGGCAACACTTAATTTCAAGTTTCTGAAAAGGTCAGAAGTAGATCTAGAACAATTGACATTTGGAAAACAGCTGCAGTATGATTGTAATTGATAGGACAAGATGGCGATAGACTAGACGTCCCTGTATATGTTCGGGGTGAATTTGCTGAAATTCAAAATGATATAGTGATATTTTGAAGTTTAAAATTCGCACACACAAGAACAAAAGGTATTTTTTGAAAGAATAAAATTGTTAAATTAATTGAAAATAACAGATTTAAAGACTTAATTCAGCAGTCACTACTCGAATGTCCAAGATGGCCATGTAAACAATAACAAAAAAATTGTAGTAAACATTCAGCGATTCATCCATGAATTCCACAAATAGGCATTATATAAATTCTTATTTATTTATTGTGGAAGCATAAAGATCATAAATAACATCATGACAGGCAAAAGTGGCAGAGGCAGGGGTAAAGGAAATCAGCCCTAAAATACCACATCACATCACTCATCTGCACGCCAGTCAGAACGCTGGGCCAATAAAAGTCGATCTGAATCAGCCCAAAATGACAAAGAGTTAGCGAAACCGATACCAGTGCATCAGATATTGCTGAATTTTTGCAATCTATGACAAAAAACGATGATTCCACTAAATTGCTCGTCGAAGAACTGCTAAAAAAACCAGTCTATTCGAAAACGTCTAATTGAAGCATTCCAATCGATGTAGTTGACACCCTTCAATCTCATATAAAAAATCTTGAGCAGAGATTGTATGATATGGAACAATATTCTAGGAGAACATGCTTAAAAATCAGGGGTATTTCTGAACCAAGTGCTCACACCACTGATGAGGATACTGATGCTAAAGTTCTACATGTCATTAACAATCTAATATTTAGTAGTCAAGATCAAAAACTCTCACTCCAAGAAATAGGCAGAAAGCACCAAGTTGGGGAAAGGAAAAAGAGCAAAACATGTGACAAAATAGTCCGATTTATATCTCATAGAGACAGAGCATTAGTCTTTCGTAATAAAAGAAATCTAAAATATTCAAAAGACGATCTATCTAACAAGAAAATAAGGATTTACGTAAATGAAGCACTATCTGCAAAAAGAGCAACATTATTTAGACAAACCAGGCAGTTAAAAGAGATAATCTGATCAACAATTGTTGGACCCATGACGGCAAAATTCTAGTCCGTAATATTAAAAACGACCAAACTTTCCAAATAAAAGATGAAGGTGACTTGACCAAATTCCTAAAAATCACCTTCCGTCATGACAGTCCTGAAACTCAATGCCACAAAAAGTCAACTTCTCGTCTACCAGGCGACAAGCCTCCAAATGCAACTCTCAATGTTAGTGCAAACATATTCCAACCGTCCGGGTTGACCTCAACTCCGATGAATAGAACGTCTGAAAGAAATACCAGATCAAGATGGAATGACTCAAATAAAAGTGACTAATTTTTCGTCAGCATAAAACTATTTGTACTACATGTATATGTTTTTATCTATATATCATTAACATTGTTACATTTCATATAGTCTACACTCACTACAAAAGTCTAAAAGTCTGAAAAGACCAGTTTTTGTCTTAATTTGCATTAACTTTTACTCGACATTCTCCAAAAGTATGACTTGTGTCTTAATTTTTCTTGACAAATTCTCATTTATATTAAATTTGTATGAAATTTACTCGACATATTCTCGACATTCTGAATATGGTCTTAAAATTTCTTGACAAATTCTTGACATTTGAATACTGTCTTGAAATTTCTCGACATATTCTCGACATTCTTAATTTTTCTCAGTATGGCTTGACATATTCTGAACATTTTGAATTGTGTCTTAAATTTACTTGACAGTTCTGAGTTTTACAAATCATGACCAATATTCATGATATAACTTTAATCTTTATTTCTTTTTATATGATATACTGTTGTTTCAAGTTACACTTCTTCACAACAAAAATAAAAGTTGGGCATGTAAAATAATTGAAAATTTGGGTATATAAATATTTTTACAAATGCAAATATGGCTATGAAATCTAAAGTATAAAATAATTCAAATGTGGGTGTGTTGATATTAAACAATTAAGAATTTCAATGTGGGTTTTTAAATAATTACAAATTTTGATTCCTAAATCTTATAAATTAAATGATTCAAACCAATCATACTGTAGACATATTTCATTCTACATTCATAATATTCAATGTTGATATGGTAAATAATTATACCAAAATGTGGTTTATATAAATAGCAAATTATGATGATATACAAATCATTCATTTAACAGAAGAAAAATTTGTGTAATGTCATCTGTTGGAATATATTAAGTATTACACATGGACAGGATGTTCCCCATAAAATTAAGGTATTCCACACCCCAGAGTACACGCAACTGTCAAATAGAAGTTATTGCTTTACCTTTAATCAGCCATACAACTTATCAGTTGACCGACCATGCCACTACAATTTAAAAAGTTTGTTGATAGATGAAAATGAAAATCATCATTTTGATGAAAAAAAATTGAATTGAAATGGATTTTCTTCATCAAAATTATGAAGTTAATTATTTTAACAAAAAAACAAATTGAATAATTCCCAAAGATTAAAAGAAAATTATTATCTACTCCAGGAATAATAAAAAAAATGTATTTATAATGGGTCCCATCAATGATTTCTATAGAAATCATCGGTCTTATGAAATGGTTCTCAAACAGACATGCATAATATAGATCTAAACATTTTTTTCTTTTCAGGAAGGAGTTATCACAAATATTTATTTTTGATAAAAAATTATAAAATTCAACACTCAAATTTGAATAAAAAATGTTTTTGGGTTGTTCTAAAAAATGAATAAGGTTTTTGAATCAAGATGGGAACAAATTCTTTGACCTAAACGAAAGCCCCCCCCCCCCCCCTCTTTTTTTAGCCACACAAACCCAAAAGATGAATTGTGGGGTCCAAAAGAGATACAAGACACCTATTTTAGTAAAGCAAATTTGACTGGCAGTTTTGCGAATGGCAAAAATCTAAATGCTGTTAGTCAATACCTTCGACTTATATTCCAAGTGAAAACAATTACTTAAATGTTTAATAAAAATAAATCAAAATTAAACTACATGGGGGATTATTCAGGGTATTCCAACTTAGTTGCACCAAAAGGGTATCTTACTATACCAAATTAATCCTTGATTCTTCAAAGTTTAGTTTAGCCATAATAAAAAGGAGTATATAACAGCAATAGAATGTCATAAACAGTGCAGAATAAGTCTGTTCACATTTCAGGCGAAATTTATACTGTTGAGATAGTGTCAAGACATATTTAAGACTGTCAAGAAAGTGTCGAGACATTATTTAGAATGTCAAGAATATGTCGAGACATATTCAGACATTATTAAGAATGTCAAGAATATGTCAAGACAGATCGAGACAAATTTAAGACAGTCAAGAATTGGTCGAGACTAATCCAGACTCTTATCAGATGATACAGGAAGTGTCGAGAAATTTTAAGACAATGTTCATACTGTCAAGGCACTTGTCAAGAAAAATCAAGAACCTTATTAGACAAATTCATACTATGTCAAGAATTTTTAAAAATTATTCAGACAAATTAAGAATGTCGAGTAAAAATTCATGCAAATTCAGACAAAAACTGGTCTTTTCAGACTTTTTGACTTTTGTAGTGACTACTTGTCACTTTTTTTTTCTAGAGTTATCGCTCTTACTATAGTATGCTTAAAATAATTTAGCTACCATAATTGACTCAAAATTTATAAATTCTTTGGCACTAATGCGCTTAAATGATCAAACAAATGTCCATATTTTTTTTAGAATACATCCTGAATAGAAACAGGCATTTTCATTAAAATTTGACATAGCCATCAATAGGTATTTTGATATACATCAGAGAAGGACTTTTATCCAAACATCGCAGAGATTTAAAAATTCCTGAAATTGAATATTTATGTGTAGAAATTATCACAAAACATGGGAAAATTATTGTGGCTTGCTTTTATAGACCACCAAATGCACCCGTCACATCATTTTGGTAATTTAGTTAGTAATGTTATTGATACTAATTTTAATGTAATCTTACTAGGTGATATAAAGTTTGATTTATTCAGGTCTGGTCCAGATAGCAGGATATCAAGAATTTGTGAAAGGTATGGTATTGAGAATGTTGTTCGAGAACCTACCCGAACCACAATTCTTAACATCAACCCTGTTAAACCCAGTCTTCATTAATAGAGGAACTCTACAGTGCTGCCAAATTTCTGTAGTGACCACTGTCCAACGCTCATAGAAATAAACTTTTCTACAACACGTGAAAAGGCTTAATCAAAGACAGTCTATGACTTTGACAGCGGGGACTATGCTTCAGCC